TTTTTTAGATATTATTTTTTCTTGTATTTTTTGGCAGTATAGACTTACTTTTTTGTATTTTTAGTTTTATAGTCTAGATTTACTCTTACACTTATAATTTAGATCTTTATTTTCTTGTTATTATTCTTACTTTTGTAGCTAATTTTTATTTTATTTCTTTATACTCTGTGTTTAGGTTTTATCTCTTTGTTTTTTAAAATGTGTAACTAAAATCTTGTAGGAATTCTAGAATTATATGAAACTAGTTTGATTTCTTTTATAATTTGTGGATCGCTTTCTCATACTTACAATGGTCATGTTTAGAATAATCAACTAGAGAACTAATTGGTAAAAGAAGAATTTGATAACTTATACTTATCTTGAGTGGTTTGATAGTTTATGCTTATGAATTCTAGAATTAATATCTAGTTATTATTTTTTCATGAATGTTAATTTTACTTGGATGATAATTTGATAAAGTATGTTTTTGTTAAGTAGTTTGATAGTCTATACTTAATAAATCTAAAGTAAAATATAATAAAAAGAGAATTGTTCATAAATCCTAAGTGAAATTGACTAGTGAATTCAATTTTAGATTTCTCATTTCTCTAATTGATTTTCCCCATCTTTTACTTATTATGAATTTCCTCTTTATTCTTGATTTTCCTTTATTTATTTTCCTCTTATTTTTTTGCCTTTCTTTCTCCCCTCTCGATCTAGTTTTGTTTTATTTAAAATTGATCACACTTTCCTCATATCTCTCCACATTCACATTATCACTCTTAATTGTTCGCATACAACTTAGGAACCAATTTGGATTATTTTCTACAACACCATTCTCGTGGGATCGATATCTTACGCACTATTAACTTTGTTTTATTTACCCCTTATTAGTACTTGTCTGAGCCAATGTAGCTTGGGGATCGTGTTTGCTAATACTACTAAAATTGCTAAAGCTAGAACTGCTCAAACTATCTCCTAGTCTCCCGAACTGTCAAAATTGTGGGGAGAGTGGCTAGCTCTTATGAGATGTAGCTACATGGGCACTCTAGCTTGATTTGCTCTGTAGGAGGGCGCATTGGTACTTGGTAATTACTGGCTCCTTATAGTAATAATAGTATATGGTTGAGTTAATCTCTCCATCCACCATGAGCACCGGTCTACCCTCTGTGGTTCCCTTCATGACCATCTCTTAAGCTAATAAATTGGCTAACCCCGTCCCCTTCCCTAAGTAGCTAAGGCAGAACGATCTGATGATGCTACTAGAGGAGTCAATGAAGGAGGTAAGGCTACCTTTCAGAGAAAGCAATAATTCTCTGCTAGAAAACCAATAGTTGAGCTACCTAAAATCTGAGGCCTAGGCAGAGAGTACTCTGTATGAAGACCTCCCAAAAAGTGTAATACCATCAACTGCTTCCATTGCTGCTGCATCTCTTTCATGTCAGACGTAATTGGAAATATCTGATGAAGCACTTCTGGAAGCGATTGAAATCACCATAATAATCCTCCAATTACTGAGTACCTTGCTTCTTTCGAAATAGCTTCTGTATGACATTGTAACCTCTATTAGTACTGCTACTCCCTCCATATAACTCCTCTATAAATATCCAAGTTCCTTCCCAGCCTCACAATATAGTACTAAGTCTCGAGTCTTGTCCTTCATTACATTCAAAATATGACGTAGTATGATAGTGTCATCTTCTGTCCATGCATCAACCACCGACGTAGGAGGGCCGTCTGATAGGTGATTCATCTTTCCTCGACTATACTAATAAATCTCAATCCTCCTCTTTCATTGTAGGTAGTTGTTAACATCTAACTTCCAGTTTGTGATCTTTTCAGTGATCACCTCAAAAAATCTCACCACAATATTTATCTCAGCCTTGATCTCGCTAGAGTCGGCCATCATGCAACAAGTAATCCAAACAAGAGACCCTCCTCTAAGAAAATGAACATCTACTACTCAATCAAAGTGCATATGCACCTCAATAGATCAACATAAACAACCTGAGAATCAAAACATAATATAGGATCATATCTGTTTTTTAAGGACACCGGTGAGACGACGATGATGAAGTAGTAGGGATGTGGCGGCAACAGAGTTATTTGATGGAGGAGGGACGAAATAATTGTTTATCTATGAAGCATGGTACTATTCAAGCAGTGAACAGTAAGCATATTGTACTCATAGTTACTATTTATTGATGAACAGTACCGCGAGGTTAGGGCTTTGGATTAGGGTTGGGGTTTTGGATGGAGGCTGAGATTTAGTGGATGGGGATTCTTTTGTATGGCTCTGATATATTGTGCTAAAAGTAATTAGAGAGAAATAGGGAAAAAGAAGAGATAATATTCTCTTATTATTCAACAATATTTATAATAGGAGAGTCTTTGCATAATTATTATATAATCAATGTGAGACTAAATACTAATTAACTCTCTCTCAACACTTCTCAAACTTTAAACTTTTTTCATTTGAATCACATATAATTGAAAAATAACCACAATACTCTTAAGAATAAAAACCTTCAATTAGAGGGAAAGGCAGCAAGGATGTCTAGTGAGAAAAGTTTTAAGTTTAGAGAGATTTGCTAGACAATGTAAAGTTGGGGTGGGGAACACAAAAAATAAAAGGAATTTTTAGATATTAGTCCCTTAAATCATAGATATTTTGATATTAGTCTCTCAAATCTTTATATTTTGGTATTAGTTCCTCAACTTTCAGTGTAGCCTATTGATCCTTATAGTTAATTGGTGTTATAATTTTGGGGGAATATCCATTAACTCTAATTTTTTAGGTGGACTGACCATTATGAGCCTCTAATTATAAACCAAACTCATTATCTATTTAACTCGTATCCGTTTAGAAACCTGAAGCCCGTTTCATCGGAAACCCAATTTCAAACCCATTTCAACTTCTCAATTCTTCTTTTCACCCTCTTCATTTCTTAACTATTTATCCACCTTAACCTCTTCCCAATATCACTTCTTCAAATGACGAAGCCAAGGATCAGATGATGGAATTATGGGGAACTATAGATTGCAAAGACATATTTTGATGGTTACCAAATTGAAGCGGATTCGGATCCTCTTCACTATCTAAAAGGTAGTGGAGGGACCACTACATAATCACAACCATTGATTATCTAGTTGGTGGTTGTGATTTTTTCTTTGAATGCAAATTAGGAATGAGCGCAATACACGGGGGTATGGTGAGTGTTAAATTTAGATTGTATCATAACCGCCTACTAAGTAATCAACGATTTAGATTAAAAGCAGTGGTCTCTCCACTACTTTTTTGTAGTGGAGAGGATCCAAATCCAATTGAAGCAGTGGAGGAGGAAAATATTGAATTGCCTTCTTCAAGTGTAGCGCCCGAGAATGAGTTGACCATTGCTACAGAGTCTCAGGGATTGGGGAGTATCAGAAAAAGGCTTTCTTCTGATGCCCAGAGGGGTAGCCTTAGGATTTCTTCTGATGCACAGAGGCTAGACTCTTCAAGAGAACGTTAAAGAACTACAAAAGATCATGGAAACGTTCGAACTGAGTAAAACCCCAACAAGAAAAAGTTGAAGTACTGTTGAAAGAAGCTGATGCAGTGATTTTGCAGTGAATTAGTGACAAACAGTAAGTTAACACTGAAGGCCGACAAGCTCTCATCATCTTCAAACAATTCGTTTAGTTATAAAATTGATGAAACGGGGGAATACTAGTGAAAGAAAATTTTTAAGAAGAGCAAGAGGGTCATATGCAGAAACTTGATTGTATTTGGTTGAAATTGGTGGAGTTTGATTATGGAGAAGCCAGAACTACAGAGAGAATAACCAGAGTTATTTTAAAGGGATTATCTTTTAAGTGAGGACAGAGAGCCCAAGGAGGAAGAAAATGGATTCTGAGGGAATAAGATCAACACAATGATATCAATACGCGGATGACATTTGAGGGACTAATATCAAAATATAAATACGTTAGGGACTAAAATTAAAATACCAACAATATAAGGGACTAATACTTAAACCCCAACACCACTCCAAAAATGGGCTCCCTTGTTGAGTTTTGAAAAAAAAATTAGAGTGCTTAGCCTCCACACCTTTCTCTCTAGTACCGAAAAAATAGAATAAGTAGTCTAGTTATCAGTGCTCTCTATGAAAAGTAATCATCAATACGTTCTTCACTGTCATCTATCTCACAAGTATTGGTGGAAACGAACCAAATAATTAACAAATAGTTCGATAATTGTTTGAGTAACTATTCGGTGATTCGGTAGTTCATTTACCACTATATAAATATTTTCTTGTATTTGGGTTTACTAACGAATATAATTTAAGCAGATGTATATTCGATTTGTTTGTCCATCAAATATTCGTTTAAAATTTGATCACTTGTTATTTGTATTATTGCACATATGATGTCATATTTTTAACTCACTTGTTATTTCTGTCATATTTTTAACTCACTTGTTATTTCTGTTTTAGTTTCATGTACTGATTTTAAGACTTAAATAATCTTAAATCTATTTTCTAAAGAAAATTTTGATTCACATACACAAACATCATATATTATTAAGGAATAATTTTTACTTATGGATTTAAATACTTTTGAAAATCAAATTCTTTAGCGAAATAAATATACTTCAATATTCAATAAGCATTCGTGGATATTCATGAATATTAGTTTGAATTCGAAAAACTCCATATATGATTATTAGAGTCTACATTCAATTCGATAATCTTAAACAAATATAAATACGAACAACTTAGTATTTGATTCAATCGTTTACCACTCTTACTCACAAATAGTCTGGTTATGTCTACTCTATGAAAAGTCATCATCAATATATTATTCACTGCCATCTATCTAACAATTTGCAACATTACGTAGAAAATCTCTGAAACACCCATGCATTAAAGATCAGTTTCCAGGTTGCAAGTTCATCTTCCACTTCGTCACATAAAGAACAATCCATAACGCAATATTATTCTTATTCAGCCCAAGCATAGCATCTCACCAACAAGATCAAATTCAACGTTCAAAAATCAGTGATATTCCCAACACAAGAATTACAGTTACCAGCAATTAGCCTTCAAGAAAACTACTGGAGATCACAGAGCTTTGAGAGAGAACTGAATTTTAAGAACACAAATAAACTAGTTCAGCAAACAAACTCATTTTGATCCGAACAATAGACAGAATCTGCTTAACAGGCTCAAAATAACAAGGCCTATGCAATATAATGAGCTAGGGTAATCCTAAAGTCCACAAACGAAGTTTTTTCAGATAAGAAAAGGCAACAAAACTGAAGTTTCAGACAAAACGCTTCTAATACTTCAACGGTTCTAGAATCTCAAGCTGAGGACCGAGCTTTTCTTCTGCAACCTTTTCTGCCTTCACACGAAGCTTGGCCAGCTGCTTCCTCCTCTCATAGGCAACTTGTGCCCTCTGCTTTCTCTTCTCCTCCAATTCCTGAAAAACAAGCAGATACTAAATAATAATATAGGAAACAAAGATGGGTAAATAACAAAATATGAAGTAACGGAACACCACATTATTCTCGATAAAAACATATTTGACATAATTTCTAGCCATCAATGAGTAAAAAGATGGATACGTGGAAAAGCATCATTTTACAGAAGTAAACTACTCAACCACAGGACGTATGGAAACAATTTGCCAAGCTTAAGTTAAGCTGCTACAGATGAATAGCAGCATAATTCAATGCCTCAAAACACTTCAGACATTGAAACTTTTTAAGGGAAAACAAAAGTCCAAGTATAAATGCTATGAGATGCAAATAGTAGAAATGCCAACATCTCCACATCAGAGTTTTAATCCCCTTTGAATATAGAGATAGAAATGAGGAAAACATTTGATACATAAACAGCAATGTGGAGAGAACTAGGATAAAGCGTCATGTGCCTGGAACAACTCAGAAGGGGGACATGAAATAAAAAGCTGTCATGTGCCTGGAACAACTCCGAAGAGGGGCATGAAACAAAATGGGTGCACCTTAAAGTTTACTGCAGAGCTTTTCTCTAGATGTAGTAATGCACTATACTGAAAGAGCCATGATTGAGAAAATTATAATCATGTCAAACAAAAACATGAGAAAACCCAACTTTAGCTCTTCGTTTTTGGTACTTGGATCCTATGAGAAGTGCAAGCAAAATCATTTCATTTATAAAATAAGCATTGATACCTAACCCCCCTCCCCCAAACAACAACAAAAAAAACCCAATCCCAAAATAAATAAATAAATATATAATGTAAAATCAGAATGTAAAAGTGTGTTATGATAAATTGGACTATCGGTGAAGAATTCAAACTCTCATGAACAATGAACATAATATTCAAAATATGACAATACTTCAACTTTTTAAAAGTAACGCAGCAATATGCAGACAACATGAAACGTAAAAGATGAATGCCTCTCGTATGAGAAGTGGAATACACATAAATGGTACAAAGCAAAGGATATGAAACAACATTCACAATTATGTCACATTTATAATGCCTCAATATGAAATGGTTTCAGCAAGAAGAAAAGTAGTGAAAGGTCACCTTGATGGTATCATAGTGGTTCCATCCAACCTCCTTGGATAGATTACCCAAAAGGCAGTACTTGTGACCAGCCTGAAGCCTCAGAACCCTATAAACAATGTTCAGGACAATCAGTACACAATCACACTTCATAAAAGTTTTTCAACCTGTAATTATGAGAAAATAGATTCGGGTTATAGCAAAGATTGCATAAGTTCAATATAGACTCCACACAATGTATGAAAACACAAAAGTCGCACAACATTGGAAAACTCCATTTATGCTAGCAGAACATTTGATTTTGATAATCCGTGAAATCAAGGCAGCTAAAATTCACAAACAACATATCCCAAACTCCATTACTGAAATAGACCCACTCAACATACAGAAAGAGAAACTTACTTGAGAGCATCAGGAATGACCATCCTCTTCACTTTGTCATATGGAGGTGGGACTCCTTCATAGGTTTTGAGCCTTGCAAGTGCTGCAGCTCCACGCTTTGTTTTGTGAGGGATCATGCTGCAAGTTAAGCAAGTAAGGACACACTTAAAATATGTCCGCTATGAGAAATAGCATCATTCAAATTGATGCACAAAATTGTTTGAAATTCCAATATATAGAAGAAACATACATGTACATATATACATACATGATAGAATATCAATATCTTGAGGCATGCATATTTCAAGCATTACAATTAGAAGAGAAAATTATAGTATGAATGACATGTAGAAACACTAGTTTACAATCAACAGCTCATAAACAATCATTACAACAAGCTGAAAATACTAACAAAATAACTCGCAAAACTTTTTAATGGCATGGGGATGATTTTTTACAACAAAACAGCATATTGATTTTCAAAAAGCCAGCGTTACAGATAATGAAATTTGTGACGTATTAACTACAAAATACAAGGCTTGTAAGATTTTTGGCGTCAGTATATTTTCCACTACGGACTGTTCCGAAAAATCATTCGATTGATGAAATATTCAGTTATAGATGATAAATATTCAATAAATTCAGAACAACTCACACACAGTTCAGTCCAATATGCAATCTTCTAAACCATCACTAAGTAAAGAAGTAAACTAAAGTAACAGAGATCCTAAAACTGAAAATTTAAGTACAAAGAGACCAAAGAATATTGGCAACATAAACTATGCAATAAAAGCAATAACAAACAACCCGGCATAATTTTCTTAATATATCCAAGGCATACACATTAGGATGTCTCCTACTCATTCCTCAAAGAATCGATCTCTCATTCAACGGTAGCCATTAAAGAAGAATTCAAACTAATCACATTACTAGCACACTAACTTAATTATTAGCCGACAGTTCAAACACCACCCCAAATAATTAACCAATCCAATAAACCTTTTTAAAAAAACTTGAACTAGTTTCCATCAAAATCAAAGCCCTAAAAGCATTAAGAGGGAAAATAAGATCTACGAGATTGGAGCTTTAAACAGTGAGTTTACTACCCTCTGATGGTCCTCCACAGGATCTTAGCGGGAGCCCTGAAATGAATCGGCCCATGAGAGGGCTTGGTGTTCATCCTCTTCCTCAAGAACCGCAGGTACTTCATCTTCTGGCGAACGAGGCCACCAGACAACGCGATCTCCTCGCATCGGACGACGACGACCCGCTGCCCGTTGAGGAGCTCCTTGGCGATGATCGACGACAGTCGACCGAGCATGTGGTGGCGGGTGTCAACCACCACGCGACGAGTGCAGAGCCCAGATCCAGACACCATTGCTGCCGCCGCCCACGACTAGGGTTAGGGTTTTGAGGTTCGGGGCGAAATGAAAAAGGCGGAGGCTAGGGTTTCTTTTGGTAGAGGCCTTTTATAGGTGTGCGGGTGAGATGAATTTGGGCCAGGCTACTTGATTGGGCTAATTTTCATTTGTAGATGAGCGGGATCTGACTAAATTAAATCAGCTTGTGAGCTATGTTAAATGGGCCGGACCTGTGCTACAGTGGGGATGCACGGGTTCCAATATTCTAGGTAACTTAATATACTTATATCATATCATATCATATTTTTCTTTAAACGTACGAGTTCGGAAAAAAAACTTTTTATGATCAATATTATTGTTTACTATTTTAAGTATTATATTTTTAATCATAGCATATCTTAATCCCAATTATTCTACACTAATCTTACATGAATCAACAATTTAAAATCACTATCACTATGACAATACCGTCCCTCTCCCATAGCTGGACAATTTAAATTTAAAACTCACTATAACAATCTTATGTTTGTCATACCATAATCCCATCCCATGTGAACTAATTATAGGATCTTTCCACAGTCAATATTACCTTTCATTATTTTGAATATTACATTTTACTCATAACATATCCTAATCCTAATTATTCTATATTAGTCTTACATGAATCAACAATTTAAAATCACTATCATTACAACAACACCACCCTATCTCATAGCTCATCAATTTAAATTTAAAACTCACTATAACAATTTAGTATACCTAAATACTTTTAAAAAACTCATTTTTCTATCCCTCACAAAAATAAATAAATAATCATATATATATATATATATATATATATATATAGATATATGGGAAAAATGAATCTAAGGTGACACCCTAAGCTCCCACCTAAGGACGCGACCTAAAATCACATCATTTTCTAATTTTTTTTTACGATCCGCTCCGTTGAACTTGATCTACACGTTCTTAAACCTGAACACATAACTCTAGATTTTGGGAGACTCATGTTCCCACATCATTTCCTAGATTTTGGGAGACTCATGTTCCCACATCATTTCCTAGATTTTTTACGATCCACTCGTTGCAATTTTGATGATAGATAACTACACCTCAACCAGTATGTTTCCATTACTTTCGAACTTCACAGGGAACATGAGTCTCCCCCTTTCAACGACTTATTGTGGGACAGCCAGTCCCTCATGGCAGTTCAATTGTCTGTCATCAGAAGTTAGTAACCTATAAGACAGTTGTAAGATACTAGCCCCATCTTTTTTCTAAGTCCATCAATATTAATACTTCTTCAATTCTTCTACTAGGAGATTATAGTGAGATACACATTAAGTTCTCCAGCACAAAATTTAGGCTTAAAGCTAACTTTAAGCCTGATTCTTATTATGCAAAGCTATTGCGCGGAAATGCAAGGGCCCAGCTAGGAGTTAATGAATCTTAAAAAAGAGATTTATGAAATAATTTTAAATAAAAAACCAAAGCTTTTGCTACACTCTAAAAATCACAAGTTTGATAAACCCTTAATAATATGCCACATGTCAGTCGGATGGGTCAGATCATGTGATAAAGGATTTGACCTAAATCTATACACAGAAATTACAATTCACTATTTTAAATATTTTATTTAAATATTATTTTATCCTAATCCTAATTATATATGATACTAATCCAATATTAACTACCTATAGCTTAACAATTTAAAAAAAATAAGATTAATAAAATACATGAAAAACTATTTTAAATGTTTCATTTAACCCTTAATCTATCCGAATACTAATTATATCCTATACTAATCTTAGGTGAACTACCTATAACTCAGCAGTTTAAAATAATAAAATTAAGAAATCATACAGAGCTAACATATTATAATACATGAATTATTACAAAAAAACCAAAAAGCTTCAAAAATTACACAAAATACCGTCAAAAGTTTAAATTTACACAAAACATCATGACATTTCAAAACTTAAAAAAAGAAAAGTGAAATATGCAAATTAACAACAGTCCCTAAAGAATCTAAAATTTTCAATTAACACTCTTTAACATTTTAAAAACTGTAGAAACAACGTCAAAAGTTTAAATTACAAAAATCACCCTAAAATTCTAGAATTTCAAAACTTGCAAACATCATAGATGAATTCAAGAAAATACCATCGGTCACTTAAACATGTAAAATTTGTAAAAAAAACCTCTAAGTTATAAAAATTTGTAAAAACTTCCTTAAAAGTTAAAAATCACAAAAAGCTCTCAAATTTTAGAACTTATAACCAACACACATCAAATCTAGAAATTATTCAAGGAAATAAACCTAAATTTCAGAAATATTCATGAATCACTTTAATTGACATTGACAAAAGATATATTTATCAAAGAAGCACCAACTGAGTTCCCCTTAAAGAACATATTGAGAAAAATTTTCCCAATCAAAGAAGCATTCTCCATGGAAGATACAAAAAAATTAGTATTTATAAATTTTCATATTTTATTCTTTAAATGTTAAATGAATCATAAAATTAATATAAAATTACATACAAATAATCTTGTAATAGAAACTACGTGAAGTCATTGATCAAATATGTTGCAAAATATAACAAGTCATATAAGGGGAGGGAAATCACTATAGTCAAAATAACTCATAACTATTTTAAATATTTTATTTAAATATTAATTTATCGTAATCCTAATTATATTTGATACTAATACAATGTGAACCACCTATAACTCAGCAATTTAAAAAAATAAAATTAATAAAATACATGAAATATTATTTTTACTTTTTTTATTTAAATCTTACTCTATCCTAATATTAATTATATCACATACTAATCCTACGTGACCTACCTATAGTATCTTCTATTTAGGAATTTCCTATAATAATACAAATTTAATTTTCTAAATAGAGTTTTACATTCATAAAAAAATTTCTTAGGTATTCTAGAACATATTTATGTATATTGGGGGTACTACCATCTTAATCATGAATGAGAAATATTGAACACCTCTCTTTCTTCGATTTCAACAAAAATGAGAAAGGAAATAAAGGTTCAAATATCTTTAGCCAACAATACTTAGAAATGTATGAAGGTGTCCATGTGATATATCATCGCAAATAAATTCAGTGAAGGAAATAATTGTTGAAAGCAGGTTATTGGTTGTTTTGATTTTAGGGTAATCGGATTCCTAGTATATTTTAGTTTTAGGGTTTCTATATATATAGAACATTTTAGAAGTGGAAATAGAGAGAGAAAATTAGTTGTTTTGAGTATTTTGAGAGGAAGATTTCTGAGAGGTGAGTTGAGATCTATTGGTGAGAGTTATTTTGATTGTTTGAGAGTTGTAACCCATTGTTTTTCTCCTCAATATAGTGAAATCTCCCAATCTTCTCCCCGTGAAGGTAGGCAACTTGCCGAACCACGTAAATATCTGTGTTTGTGATTGATTTGTGTCGTTCATTTATGAATTACACTCGTTGGTTTTTCTTATCTCTTGCTCGCCGACTCATTTAGTTCGTGCGCACGCTTCCACCGACGCGCAACAATTGGAATCAGAACCTAGGGTTTTCAGACCTAGGGTTTGATTTGGGTGGAGGAAAATTCAGTGTTTGAAGCTTGGATTTCAGAGATCTAGGCTTTGGTGGAGATAGCGTTACGGAGTTGCCAGTTAAGATCTCACCTTCCTCGTGTGGTTGGGAGTTCATGTTGGAATCCAATCTAGTGTTCAAGTTGAGTAATTCCTCAATTCTATCGGAGCCAAACCTCCTGATCTGCAACTCTGTCAATAGCTAGTAGTGGATTCGATGTAAGCAATTCCTCTGGTGGTGGAACTTTCAGCGTCTGATTCGGAGTTGCTACGCGTTCCTCAAGTGCGGCAAGTCTAGCGGCAATCGGTGCTATAAGGTCGATCAAGTACTGCGGAGCCTGCTGCGGCTCTGGCTCTGCCTCAGCTTGCCTAGCTTCCTGAGCACGAGTACCTCTACGACCACGTACTCTTCCTGACATCTAAAAGTTTAGGAATAGAGCTTATTAGACACAATAAATGTGACCTCAAGTATAAATAACAAAACATATATTAATAAGAAAATTATATCACATATCATTCACAGTATGCATTATATTCAAGGCAAAATACTCAGCTTGCCTAGCTTCCTGAGCACGAGTACCTCTACGACCACGTACTCTTCCTGACATCTAAAAGTTTAGGAATAGAGCTTATTAGACACAATAAATGTGACCTCAAGTATAAATAACAAAACATATATTAATAAGAAAATTATATCACATATCATTCACAGTATGCATTATATTCAAGGCAAAATA